GGGGCGGTGTGTTGTAATGTCACCCTGTGCCGGTAGGGGGCGGTGTGGACGGCGCTTCGACTGTAAAACATGGCGGTCTGATGGCAGTGTACTGTATGTTTTTCTCATCATTGTCAGCGACAACAACACAGCACGTGTTTGAAGCTTTTCTTGATAGATAAAATATAACGATTCGTTTTTATTATGCGAAATTTGGCTCTACGAGTCTAGAGGTCATCTACTGCCGTGTTCAGGCCAGCTGTGTTCGGGGTTCGATCCCGTGTGGCTGGAGTCTTGTGGTTCGTGTTAGGAACGATCTACTCCAGGCTTCACCACCGGGGAGGAAGTCTCAAGTCGGTGCAGGGTGAGGTTTTGATATTGATCATGTTCATATAATCATTAAATTAAGATTTATTACAGTAACAGAAGCGCTACATCATATTACCAATGTAGCCAGTTAGCTTAGCCGTGTGTGTTAGCCAAATAGCTTGGCTAAAGACGCTTGCTAGAAAACAACAAACCGCATCTTTAACTTTAATAAACTTGCAGCTTTCTTTTATTTTATACTTTAAAGTATGCCGAAAAGATGAGTAATATTAAAATATGCGTTGAAAGAATTCTCATATATGTGTGACGCGTGTAAACGTGAAAATTGCGGAAACGGTTTAAAACTGTTCTTTTTTGAATGAGGTTTGGCGTGTCCGTGTGTGACAGCAGGATATTGACGTGAATTTTTCTGTAGTGTAGCAAACTAAGAATGAAACTGACCAAATGATTAAATATTAAAGTATGTATACGATCAAATTGATACTTTTTTATTTTTAGTTTATGTGTACATTTATGAAAAGTGGTCCTTTAAACATGTAATAATGGATGAAGTCCTGACTTTCTCTTCCTGTCTCCGCAGGTCGTAAGAGTTCACTTGCATCATACATGACAAAGCATATTACAAGACAAGCTTAACAACAATAACTCAAAGCATATGGATTCCACTGGCTGTGGAGAAGGTTTGTAAAAACATAAACACTATTTAATTTCTCATTAGTCCTTATATATTATAGGTATAAATTAGGGTTTCCTTACAACAATGAAAGATATGAAAAAGTATGGACGTTACTTTCAGTATAAAATACATGCACCCATTTTCTTTGCCTGCTTCTCCTTTCTGAGGAGCTGGCACATATCTCCAGCAGTCACTGCAACAGGTGGGGGACACCCTGGACAGGTCTCCAGTCCATCACAGGGACACATGGAGACATATGAGATAAACAGCCATTCACTCCCTCACTCACACCTAGGAACAATTAGAGTTACCAATCAGCCTAACATGCATGTTTTTGGTCTGTGGGAAGAAACTGGAGTATATGGAGAAATCCCACGCATGCATGAGGAGAACCTGCAAACTCCACCCAGAAAGGCCCCTGGCCAGGATTTGATCTAGCAACCTTCTTGCTGAGAGGCAGCAGCTCTACCAACTGTGCCATCATAGCCGCTGTTGGGGGAAAAAAACAAAACATTACATTTCAATCGGAGCCTGTATCAATCTAGACCAACTAGTCAATATGAGATATTTTCAAGTGGGTTTTTTTGCCACTCTTCCATAAAACTTCAACTGGTGAAGAACTCTGGAAGCACAGTCTCTCCCATCTCACCTTCTGACGCTTGTAACGCCTTCAGAGAGGTCACAGCTGTCTTGTCTCACTTTTCTGAGAGTGAGAATATTGTTTAGAATACTTTATTCAATATAAATTTTAATTTTCATGTTATTTTTGGTCAAAGCTACAAAAAGCCGGTACAGAGGAACCAAAGATTCACTAGTGGCCCCAGAACCACAGGATCCGTCTCATCTAGTCTACTCTTTTCATAATGTTTAGAACACAGCAGTTATAAAACCATAACCACAAAGTGCATTTACAGCAGGTATTAACTGTAAATTTACAACAACAAAAATTATCTGGACATTGAAAGTAATAACCCACAAAATGGACCAAAATTCAAGAAACTTGAGTCAAGGAAGGCCTGGATTTGTAAAATGAAAACCAAGCATGGACTTTTTTGGTTTTTAGTGTAAGAACCCTTCCTGAAATTAATGAATGCAGATTCAATAAAAGTTGCATATTAAGCTTCTTTTTTTTTTTTTACACACATCTTAGTGAAATAATACTGCCTCTCCTCGCAGGACAAGAGGAGCCGTCTGAACAACCTCTGTATTCATCAATCAGCTCTAAAGGCCGACAACGGAAGAAAAATCTCAAGTATTTAGATTATGAAACGGACGATACAGCTATTTGTGAAAGTATACTGCAGAAATCACCGAAAAACAAGTCCGAAAAGGAAGACGCAGTTCCTCAAAAGAGCTCAAGAAGAGGACGAAAACCCAAGGCTGCCGTAAAGCAGACGGGAGACGGGGATAAAGAATCAAAAGACAAAATACTGGTACCTCCAGATTCTGTTAGTAAAACTGTAGAAGTACCGGTAACGCCGAAAAAAAGAGGGCGGAAGAAAAAAGTACCTGTCGTCCCTGATGGAGAACTTCCAGTTGAAGAATGTGGAGGTGGTGGGGCTGAAAATTCTGTCAACCAAGAAAACGGGACTCCAAAACCACAATGTGAGAAGGAACCAGAGGAGGAGGCTGAATCAGGCCGCCATCGCAGGAGAGGGGCTGCTAAACTGTAAGTTACATGATGTTATTCTTTGAGCTGCTTATTTCTGCAGGGGTCACCACAGCAGGCAAATTCACATGAAATAATCAGGATTTGTTTTACACCAGCTGTCCTTCCTGCCACAGCCTGGGCTTGAACCTGCAACCTCAGGATTGCAATACTGTGGCACTGACCACTGAGCTACTGCAAGACAGCAACTTTAGTGATGTTTATTGTTTCTCTTAGTCATTTTCATTCACAACTGAACTAAGAATGAAAAAGTAATTAGTTTTGGTAGAAACTACTCCAAAAGTGTCCACATTCATGTAGAAACGTAGATGTATGTCAGTACAGACTTTCAGTAATGGTCAGTGACCTCATGCTTTAATCTACAGTTGTCATTTTTGAATGAGAATCTAACTTGTAAACAAAATCTTCCAGCGCGCTGAAGTACCTTCAACTTTTGGCAAAGGACTTGCTCTCTCATCCCAGTGAAGAGGCGGCCTCCAAGCCACACGCCAACAACGAAGACGTCTCGGAACATAATGGTCCCCAAAAAAGAAGAGGTACAGTACTCTGAAAGTTCTGCCATCCTCCTCAAATCAGGATTTTTTGCTTAAGGTTACACAATATTTTTTTAACTAATTAGATTTAGATTTATTGTCATATGTAGATCAACACGAGGTCAACAATGTAATGAAATGTTCAGGACGAGAAGAACCGTCTCGACTCGCCATAAAAACAAACAAACCCACAGCATGCAACAAAAATACAAAAACAAGGGATCAAAGGTGACAAAAAAAAACATCTACAGTAGTATGGTCCTATTAGCAGAGTGGTACCGTTAGCAGTGTGGTTCTGTTAGCAGCATGGTCCTATTAGCAACATGGTACTGTTAGCAGCAT